AGGCGGCTGCCACCACGCCCAGCTAATTTTTGTATTTTTAGTAGAGACAGGGTTACGCCATGTTGGCTAGGCTGGTCTCGAACTCCTGACCTCAGGTGATCCACCCGGCCTCCCAAAGTGCTAGGATTACAGGCATGAACCACCGCACCTAGCTAAAGATTATTTTTACATATTTCCATAAAAAAATCCCCCAACTATCAAGCTGTATCTGCAAGGCCTTCCATCAGAACCAAAATGCACCTTTCAACCTTCCCTTTCATCACTACTTTTAGATAAACCAAAAGTGTTCGGTCAGTATTTTCCAATGATGCCTTGCACATTGTCTGTCTAAGTCCTTCTTTCCAGACACCTCCTGCCCCCCTTTGGCCAAATTCCCTAATTACCTAGCAAGATTTCATTTCAGCTTTCCCTGACTACTCAGTTCATTGGGAATCTTCCTCTGAACAATTTATTTCTGTTCCTGACTGGTTTGCCCAAATAGATTATGAACTACAGGAGGGCAGGGACCACCCATCAACTTATATTTGTTCCCCACTATTCCAAAAATATTGCCTTGCAGAGAAGGAACTCATTAAACATGATTGATTGAAATTCAGTGCCTTCTGTGCTGTAGCCTTTTCAAATAATTTCTCTGAAGGTTACTGGTTTCTTGCAGAGTGAAAATTACCATCTAGGAAATCTCAGGGAGTCAGTGGAAATCTACTTACTGTGGATAATGAAATCTGAAATAAAAACAGTACACATCTGTTTCTACAGTTTCTTAAAGAGAGCGAGACAAGCTAATTCTTTGAAGAATCATGTTACTTTATCTACCTCTAAAAAAAGGAAATGGCAGCCAGGCATAGTAGCAAATTACCTGTAATCCCAGCACTTTGGGAGGCTGAGGCGGGCAGATCACCTGAGGCCAGGAGTTTGAGACCAGCTTGGCCAAGATAGTGAAATCCTATCTCTACTAGAAATACAAAAATTAGCCTGATGTGGTGGTGCATACCTGTAATCCTAGCTACTCAGGAGGCTGAGGGATGAGAATCGCTTGAACCTGGGAGGCAGAGGTTGTAGTGAGCCAAGATCACGCCATTGTACTCCAGTCTGGGCAACAGAGTGAGACTCTGCCTCAAAAAATAAATTAAAAACAAGCACCCACTGCTGTTATTATTACCAGTTGACTTTCAGCAGCACCAACAATAAAAACCTTTGACAGAAACTCTTGGCTGGACACAGTGGCTCGATCCTATAATCCCAGCACTTTGGGAGGCTGAGGCAGGAGGATCACTTGAGCCCAGCCTGGGCAATATGATGAAACTCCATCTCTACACAAAATAAAAAAATTAACTGGTTGTGGTAATGGGCACCTGTAGTGCCAGCTACTAGGGAGGCTGAGGTGGGAGGATCACTTGAGCCCAGGTCAAGGCTGCAGTGAGCTGTGATCAGGCCACTGCACTCCAGCCTGGGTGACACAGTGAGGGAGGGAGGGAGGGATTAGGGAGGGAGGGAGGGAGGGAGGAAGGAAGGAAGGGAAGGAGGAAAGAGAGCGGGAAGAGCCAGATGGGGAGGAAAGGAAGGAAGGAAGGAAGTGGGGGAGGGAGGGAGGGAGAGAAGAAAGAAGGAAGGAAACAGAGAGAGAAAC